TATGCTCCAGCCTGCTTTTCCCTGCTGCACAGGTTCTCCTGCCCCTCACCATGCCTGCCCATCTCTGTGGTGTAAGGGCATCACAAGCCAAAATAAGGCACTCCTGCCCTGTCCTGTTGCCTTGTCTGTCCCTGGGGATGCTCAGCATGACACTGGGAAAACTGTACCTGCTACTGGGACTGCAGAGGCCAGCAAAGAGAGGCAGATGTGTAGAGAAGCAGGAGCTCCAGGAGAAGCAGGATCTCCTGGCTTTCATTCAGGGGATGTGACTGAAGCCAGGTTACCATAACCCCATGTGTCCCCCGCCAGCCCTCATAAACATGGCTGGCAAAGGTCATGTCAAGCCCTGCTGCACCCCAGGAAGCAGCACCCCTCCCTCCCTCCCTCTCTCCCTTTCACCGAGGGTGAGATGGGTGGTGGCGTCTTGGCCATCCCACAGTCGTAACCACCCCTGGCACAGATCCCTGCCACCGCTCACTACAAAGGCAGCCACGCACAAAGCCTCCGTGGGCGGATGGGCTTTGGCCAAATCTTGTTTTCTGGTAGATTGTGAAAGGGAAGCAGAAAGACTAGGGGAAGCTGAGATGGGGAGAAACCAAAAAGCAGGAGGCAGGCAAAGGAGCCCTGCAGGCTTGAGAAGGCAAAACTGGAGAGTACTTTTGGGCTAGGTGCTGGCTGAAAGGTGCTTAGAGCTGCACGCTCAAAAGCCATCTTCTAGTATCTGGTCCTCCCTGGGGTTGAGGAAACTGGGTGTGGTATCTCCTCTCTTAGGAAAACTCATGCATTTCACTTTGAAATGATTCAGAGTGCCCTCAAATTTGATTAAACACTAAGGAAAAACAGGGCAAACAGTAACAGGGGTGGAACAGCTTTCTGGGGTGAGTGTGAGCTAACATCCTCGCTGTATTTGGTTTGTGTGGCAAGGTTTTGGTAGTGGGGTGGCTACAGCGGTGGCTTCTGTGAGAAGGCACTAGAAGATTCCCCTATGTGCAGCCGGCTGCCAATGCCAGCTGGCTCAAAGACAGACCCGCCACTGGCCAAGGCTGAGCCCATCAGCAATAGTGGTAGTGCCTCTGTGATAAAATGTTTAAGAAAGAGAAAAATTTACTGTGCAAGAGCAGCTGTGGCCAGGGAGAGGAATGAGAATACATGAGAGAAACAACTCTGCAGACACTAAGGCCAGTGAAGAAGTAGCGGGAGGAGGAGATCCAGGTGCCGCAGCAGCGATTCCCCTGCAGCCTGTGGTGAAGATCATGGTGAGGCAGGCTGTTCCCCTACAGCCCATGGAGGTCCATGGTGGAGCAGATATCTGCCTGCACCCCATGCATGACCCCACACCAGAGCAGGTGGATGCCTGAAGGAGGCGGTGAGCCTGTGGCAAGCCCACACTGGAACAGGCTCCTGCCAGGACCGGTGGACACATAAAGAGAGGAGCCCATGCTGCAGCAGGTTTGCTGGCAGGACTTGTGACCCCACCAGGGGACCCATGCTAAAGCAGTCTGTTCCTGAAGGACTGCAACCCATGGAAGGGACCCACACTGGAGCAGTTCGTGAAGAACTGTAGCCCCGTGGGTAGGACTCACATTGGAGAGTCACTGTCTTCCAGGACCCCAAATTGGAGCAGGGGAAGCATGTGAGGAGTCTTCTGCCTGAGGAGGAAGGAGCAGCAGAAACAACAGTGTGATGAACTGACCACAACCCCCATTCTCTGGACCCCTGCACCGCTCGGGGTGAGCAGGCAGAGAAATCAGGAACAAAGTGAAGCCTGGGGAAGGAGGGAGGGATGGGGGGAAGGTGTTTTTTAAGATTTGGTTTTATTTGTCATTACCTTTTTCTGATTTGATTGGTAATAAATTAAGGTTTTTTTCCCCAAGTTGAGTCTGTTTCACCAATGATGGTAATAATTGCTTGGACCCCTGCACCGCTCGGGGTGAGCAGGCAGAGAAATCAGGAACAAAGTGAAGCCTGGGGAAGGAGGGAGGGATGGGGGGAAGGTGTTTTTTAAGATTTGGTTTTATTTGTCATTACCTTTTTCTGATTTGATTGGTAATAAATTAAGGTTTTTTTCCCCAAGTTGAGTCTGTTTCACCAATGATGGTAATAATTGCTGAGTGATCTCCCTGTCCTTATCTTGATCCATGAGTCTTTTGTTACATTTTCTCTCCCCTGTCCAGCTGAGGAGGAGGAGTGATAGAGCGGCTTTGGTGGGCACCTGACATCCAGCCAGAGTCAACCCATCATACTCACAAACCCATGCTGGAGCCAAGCCAAGCTTGGAAGTGCCTGACTAGTTCAAAACTGGCCAAAAAGAACCATAAGGGAGCCTAAAACCAGGTCTGGAGACTTCATCAAAGGGATGCAAGTAAGGCCAAGGTCAGCTCTACAACAGGGGCTGGAAAACCATTACAGTAGTAGCTGGTGCTTCCTAGACATGGCCAGGA